AATTCCAGTGAAATATATTTATGTTTGTGGTTGTAATGTGACAAAATATGGAAAAGTTCAAGGGGTATGAATACTTTTGCAAATCACTGTATCTACAGGGTGTCCGCAGGTCCTTAAAAAGTCTGGAAGTCTTAAATTCACATATCTAAAATTAAGACTTTAAAAAGTCTTAAATTCACATATATAAAATTAAGACCTTAAAAAGTCTTTAAATGTCTTAAAAAGTCTTAAATTCACATATCTAAAATTAAGACTTTAAAAAGTCTTAAATTCACATATATAAAATTAAGACCTTAAAAAGTCTTTAAATGTCTTAAAAAGTCTTAAATTCACATATCTAAAATTGAGACCTTAAAAAGTCTTAAATTCACATATCTAAAATTGAGACCTTAAAAAGTCTTAAAAATCTTAAATTCACATATATAAAATTAAGACCTTAAAAAGTCTTAAATTTGATTAAAAATGTACAAGTTGGTCTTAAATTAGTTACTCAAAGGTCTTAAATTTTGTCGGACAGAAGCAATTATACTCCATCTCTGCGGCGCATTTCATGTTGAGAAAAGAAAAAAAACTTGTGTTGTGATAGATTAACTGACGCTGCTTTCAACCAATAAAATAACCAAAGTCACAGTTCTAGCCAATCAGAGCAGAGCAGGGCGGGTCCTGCTGCCTGAGGGATTCAGAACTGCAAATGAATTAATCAGGAGTTGATCGGACTTTTCCAAGGACTTTTTTTCTTTTTTCAACCCCCTACCAGAATCACCCACCCTGCATGATGGTAAAGTTATGTAATAAATTATTAAACGTCTAAGTATTAAATGTATGTGTTCGTGTGTAACCAGTTCTCTGCAGCCGAGGAGATACCTGAGCTGTTACACCTTTACTTCAGCCCGTCTTCCAGAACCGAGCCTGACCTGTCCGGCATTTTTTTTATCTAAGGTTTAACTTTGTGTTAAACGTTGTTGTGTTCAGAGTGTTGTTATTTTAAAGACGTGCAACTTACACGCACTGAGGAGCTACCTGAGTTGTTATATTGTTACTTCTACCCATCCAGAACCGAGCCCCGACCTGCCCCTGTCTTTTGTATCTAAAGTCCAGTTGTGTTAAACGTTTATGTGTTCGGAGCTTTGTTGATATTTTACTATAGAAAGCACACTGGACCAAACACACATGGACATTTTACATTATCGTGATACGTAAACATGTGCAACTTGTGTGCGTGACCAAACTGGTCTGGGTCACAGCGGTAGCTCGTCCTGTGTGTCTCATGGTGAGAGAGAAGTTGTAGCTGCTGCTTCAGTTATTAAACATTTATTAACGCTAAAAGATGAATTTTTATAGACTTCAGATCACAGCAAAGACATTTGTCTCAGTTTAAATTAAAATTTCCCTCAAACTCGTGAAGAACAAGTTAATTCCACAAAATGTTTTAACAACAATGAGGTGTTTTGTCTGTTTGGATGTGATAAACTTTTATTATCTTTAGAACTATACTACTAACTGAACTGTGATAAATATAATTCATAAATGATCAAAAATGAAAAATAAATAGTATGATTATCCAATGTCTCCACCTCCTACCAATGTACAGTAGGTGTTGCCACACATTGGTCACTAGTAACGGAACACCTTTGACCATAAGTCACAGGTCTCTTTCTAGAAGGATCCCAAATCATCAGTCAGTTTGACTACATGAGCTGTAATCCTGTAAATATTCCCTCTGAATAAAATGTTGATTTTAGGGGAGAAATCAGTTGACTGGGTGATTTATTTTTGTATAAAGGCAACACTGGAGGTTAAAACACAAGTTTCATGCCATGAATGTATTTAGATGTATTTTATGTTGGTTGTTTCCAACCAAATAACTGCACTTTTAAAATACAGCTAATTTAACCAGAGAGCTGAATGTCTTCAATGCTTTTTACTGAGTGACACACGTTGGTTGTAATACAGTAGAATCCCTGAACCATCACTTATATTTTGAGTCTAAATTTTTTTCAAGGTGGTATTAAAAAAGTCTTTAAAAGTCTTAAATTTGACTTGCTAKAACCTGCAGATGAGGCATCAAAGTAAAAAAAAAGGTTGGAAGATCATTTGGCTGGTTTTTGCTTCTTGTGGAGATACTGTCTGATGGAAAAGATGATTAAGTTTTCTCCACTACAAGCTGATTCCTCTGTGTGTCTCTAACAACAGCTGCTGGTTGCAGAGTAGGGATAAAGTTTGGTGGAGTTATCGTCCATGTTTGACTGGACCACAGACATGATGAATGTACAAGTCTTAACCACTAAGTTGAAACAGAAATTATACGTTTATTCAAAAGTTAGATCCAATCTGACATTTTCTGTTTCAAATAGCTATCTTCATGCCAT